TATATCTCCAGAACCAAAAAAGCTATATTCGATTTCTCTACATCATTGAATAGGTCTCTAAAATACGCAACTTTGTCATAATCCAACCGACACTCTATCTCTTATCGTTTACGATATCACCATGTACAGAAACGAATTTGAATAGCCCTGTATTTCACTGTAATGAATGCAACTCTTACCTCTTCAATCATTTCATATCGAAACTGAGAAAAAACATTCATTCTTCTCAATTCTATATTTCAATGTTCATTTTTATTTTCAGATATTTGGTTCGACCAAGTCCATTTTCTGCTCAAAAAACTTTCGAGAGACACAACAGCAGACGAAAATCAAATATAAGCTTCTGTTCGCAAACTCTGGTGAATCAAATGGCTACCAACTCACAATCAGGAAGTCGGCGGGGATCAGGTCTTGGTCTCTCCGGATATCAATACCCAAGACCACCACCACTCGCCACCACTAAATCAAATTCGCTGTCGTTACCAGATAGCCCAACAGTGACAGGTTACCAAAGAGGCCGTTCAAATAGCTTGCGGGTCATAGACGATATTTTATTGCGCAGATCAAATTCACTCAGACAAGGACTTCCTAACGTTGGGAATGCTAGAAGAAAAAGTAGTTTAGAGGACGTTGGTTTGAGCCACTTCAGTACAAACTATTCCAATACCATCAAAATCGCATTGAATGGCGGTATAGGTTTAGAAGTGACTCCACCAGAAGAAAATACTCCTCCCGTAATTAGCAGTAACACGTCTTTGTTGGTGAACTCTTCTATACCATCCGTGCTAAACGCCCAAAGTCTGGCCCAGAGTGGCCTACCTGGTTTCTGTAACTCTGTGTCCCAGCCTCCGATCAACTTGTTCAGTAGTGTGCCTAATCAGGGATACGTTGATGCAGGGGGTCAGCAACAAATGGCTCTACCCCCTTCCTCGACGGATCCACAACATTTACAGGGTACGATAGTATGATACAATCTCATGTGGGGGAGAAGAATGGGTAGCTTGAGAAAAAAGTGGCTCTAGATCTTCTAACTTCCACAGTAGATGTTCTGGGTTAAAAGGGGTAAATGAATTAGTGAATGTATTTCAGTCTCAGAAGTAGAAATCAGGCATTTACGTTTGAAGTCCCTAATTGCTTTATAAATTCTTGATACATTTTGATTTTCTATCAAGCTGGCATTTTTGTGAGTTCACCAAATTGAAACTTAGATTTGTGAATATGGAAAAAAACATTGTAACATTTATTACTCATAATATTCTCCACGGTATGTCTGGAGACACTGAGAAATCTGTGAACGTGTGAGGAATTACTCCCGAAGTTTTGGTGGCTTCATGCAAATATTTGGATATAATAACAAGTTGACATTGAAAAACTTTTATTAATGTTCTGTTTGTATATAAATTTGAAGTCAGCGAATGATTTGATGATTCAAAGTTTAAAAACTGGTAATTCTGTAACGAAAAACTTTTTTATTTTAGTTGAATATGATCCATTTTCAGCAACGGTTTAGTATGGTGATCATGTACAAAATCAATACAAAACGGTTAAGGAGCATTTCAAAATTCAGAAAACTGAATTAGCTCCATCCCAAAATCACATCTATCAATAATATAACAAATTTATTATCATTTTGATTCAATGGTACACTTAACAAAATAGTTACTTTCATTTCTACTTTGGATGAAAAATGTTTATCTCTGTTGAATGTTAGAATTCTACCAAAAGTAGTAGGTCCGAAAAAAAATGAAATTTCAATCCTGCAAAAAATTTTGATTTCCTAGAATTTAAGGTAAACGAAAAGAATTTTCAAAAATTGAATGCAACTGACCGATATCTAATGAAAATTCCTATTGAAATTTACTAATACAGTTCACAACATAAGAAGGTTTTACAAAAACCGCTACATGTGTTTCATTCCATAATGACTCTTCAATCTATAATGACTAGGTATTTTATAGCGAAAAACGTGTCGCGGTTTACCTAAAACCTTTATAAATCGAAAATCGTATGTTCAGAATGGCTAATTCTGAACTTTCACTGTGAGTTGTCATTTCGCTAATAAATGAAAACCAGTTTTTATTCTATTTGAACTATTGTTTGTTAAATGCAAGATGTATGGACTTCTATTATCTGGAAACTCAACTGATTTGAAATTTCTGAAAAAAATTGAATTATAAAATATCCAGAAATAACAAAACATATTGTTGAGTTACTAGACAACAAAAAATGATATCACCAAAATGTGGAGGAATGAAATATGAAAATATAAGACATAACAGTTCATCACCCAAAGATTATTGTACATACCTAGCCATTGAAATGTCGTGAAGTAGCTTGATTTGAAATCTTACATCTTATTTTTCACCCATTCAATCAATGATAACATCATATATTATTTACGTTTTAGTCAGTCCCTTTCATAAAGGGCCGATCATCAGTGCTACCTATTTTTTTAATGGGTAGTGAATAAACATGAAAATGGTTACATGTCGGATTGACGGTATCACTTTATTCATTAAAACGAATTGAAATAATAATTTGGTCAAATTATGGCTATCCATGATAATAATCAAACAATTTTCGCAAAAATGTTCTATTCTAGATGCGTTTTGCGTCTTTTTCGTTGCAAACTCCACTTGACTGGTTTGTATCGCTCCATCTAATCTACTGAGAAAAAAGTATTAGTTTTGGTTATCACTCCTGCTCTCTCTACGTCGGTTGTCACATTCTCCAAATCGTCTGCGAAACCCACTATGTATGTTCCTGCAGACTTTTTTGTTTTGATTACTGGGTCGTAAAATACGTTTCCAGTGAAGGGCCTTCTGGAATTCCTGCGGTTACATCGACAGCTTCCGTCCTTCTTTTCTTCGGTTTCTGTTGTAATGTCACTAATTTCGTCCCCTCGAGCAGCTAGAGGGGAAATCGGTCCGTCCCTGCAGAGTCCCACATGCTGAAATAAGGCTAGAGCCATTTTCAGGAGGCATCATTGAAGTCACATCAAGGTTCAGCACCTCTGCAAGATGGTGCTGAACCTTGATATTAAGGGACGCAGTGACCGCTCTTCTATTCCATGAGCAGAAGAATGGCCGTGAGATGAGGGGATGCAACCGCATTCCCTGCATCAAGTTAGTTTGAAATTTAAATTACACCAGCCCCCACATGATCCGATGACCCAGAGGCAGGAAGAAAAAAAGAGTTGGCCAAGTGAGAGATGACAACACGGCTAAAGAAATCCTAAGATAATAAGCCCTGCACATCGGATAAGTATTTCTAAGAGAACTATTTTTTCGAAAGTTCCCTCTCTAGTTTTGTGGGACACAGGCACGCCACGAGTAGACACTCGATGATCTTGCCGGTGGAGAGGCTTTTGATTCAGTTTTACACCGCCTGTTTCGTCGTCCACACCTTTTTTTGGCGGTGAGCATGTCCAAGTGAAGAACCCTTCATGAGCAACACACGGTAGTGATTTTTCCTTTCACTTGTAGTGTGACACTTCTCAAAGTCACGGAAACCCATCTCTTGCCATTTTCGATACCTATGTGTTAGGCTAGAGACTATTCAGCCCATGTAGTATATGCTGTGTAATCAATGAATCGAACTATCTATCCATTCAGTGGTCTATACATACACAATGAGTATTGGCTTATATCTATCGAGACATCGAGACCTACTGAGATGAGTTTGATTACGTTGAATTTGTGATCTGATGAATGTTTTTCTGAATATTTCTTGGATATTTGTTGATTGTTGAGGTGGGAGGGGGAGTAAATTGGTTCACACCGACTGTATAGGGAGAGTCATCTCGATGATGCACATAATTCGTTAGCTTTCTCAGATGATCATCTGTGCCAGTTCCCACTACGGTGTATTTGCTTCCAATTTTTTTTTTGCGTTTTTGTCGTTAATTGATATCCTGTTTGTTGATTGTTTTCGTTATATGAATTTCGTAGAATGATTCATCATTTTTTGAAAAGTTATCAATTATTGATTGTTGTTTTTTACTAGGATGGGTTGCTAACATTTTCATCATGTCACTGTTGCTTTCTTTCAATTTACTAATTTATTTTCTTTGAAGAGGGGTTTCACTTTTTCTGTTCACAGCTTTATTTGGAATTCCTTTCAGTCCTTCCAAACTAATAGTGATTATATCTGGATTTTGTTGCTTTCAGTTCTCACCAAATTTCGAGTCAATTTTATTCTATCTACGTGACTACAACTCCATTTTAACTTTTTCGAAAAACATTGATTGTTAATAATGGAGAAATTTAAAATAAAAATATGTAAGAAATATATGAACATTCAAAGATAAATTGTCAAATGTGGAAATACTATTCATCTAATAAATAATTTTCAAATGTACTTTGAATTTCAGAACAAGTTTTATGTTTTTAAACTTGACTGACAGCTTATTA